TATGAGACTTGTTAAAAATGAAACAAAACTTATCACTAAGGTGTGCATTATTTATATTAAATCAAAAAACTAAATCAAATCGAATTTTAATTTAAATTGGTTTTTTAAATTCTTGATTTGAATTTGAGTTTATAATTCATTTTGTTTGATTTTTCGATTTGTTTCTGAAAACCAAAAAATGAAAATATCGAATCAAAAAATCGAATGCACACCCCTAATTATCACCGGATACAATTTTTGATAAGGTAATCAAGTTTAATTAATGTACCTCTTATTCCTCACACAATATTTAGCACCGATTTTAATAATTGACTAATTCAAATTCATATAACAAGATCACATTACTCTAACATCAAAAATACAAAATTTTACACAATAATTCACCGCTTATTAAATTCATAAATTTTCTAATTTTAATTAAAAATGAAAGAATATTTATCTTGTGACATAATTTTTGGTGAGGTGGTAAGGTCTAATCAATTCATTTTGGACTTTACCAAAAAAATTTCAAACATTTAAATTTTTTTAAAAATTTAAAAACTTTTTCTATGTCCCACTTTTGGGTAGAGACGTGTAAAGAGTAGTTTTATTTTTATTTTTTTTTTTGGTTTTATGTGTGGAATTTTTTAGAAGAGAAAAGAAAAAAAATAAATAAAAATGGGACCCTTTTTTTTTAAAAAATAACATAAATTAAACTTTATTATAGTAAATGGGACCCACCAATCACAAAAAAAAGTCAAGAAAGTAACCAATCAGAATAAAGCCGTGTGTCAATCATCAATTCCCTTTTTCTTTGCTCATATTATCCTTTACTTCATTGTCGGGCGACACGTTTCGAGCATCGACCTAACGTCGTTGAATCGATTACTCGAAACGTTTATATAATTTGAATAGAAGAAAATGATATTAATAAATTATGTTGTTAACGAATCTCATGAGGAGCTAGAGATGATGGGATATATTGGAAGTTATCAAATAAAATAATAATAATATATTCAGCTTGGTTTTTACTTTGTAGTCTTAATTTGACTTTAGCTAATAACTATGCCTTTCAACTTTGAAAATGTGTGAATATTCACTTAAACTTGTATAAAATTGAATAAATAGACACACGTGTCATAACACACTTAGAACGTTACGTATGACACAAAGTTGATATGTAGAACGAATGTGTTTGTTTTGTTTAATTTCATACAAATTTAAGTGTTTATTTCTACAAACAAATAATAAAAGGTCATGATTATGTACTATGCTTAGAATTCAGGTATAATACATAAATATGACCCTTGATTTGGCGTCAGTTAGCAACAATGATTGGATGTGCACAAGTAAGCCCTTAAATTTGTATAAAATTGAACAATTAGACACACGTATCTTACATGGATTATACACGTAAGACACAACGTAGACATAAATTTTCTATGCAGGGTGCCATGCAAGATGAATGCGTCAATTTGTACAATTTTATAAAAATTTAAGGCTTAAGTCATCTACGGCCCCCTAAAGTTGTTTGCATAATTCACTTAGACACCTCAACTATGACTTATACCTATTGAAGAAAACTTTAGGGGGCCGTATCTACTTGTGCACATCTAGAGTTAAGAGTCATGGTTACGTTGCCAACTGACACCAAATTAAGGGTCATATATGTATTATGTCTAGAATTTATGTAGACCTTATTCCTATATTTAAAAGTACGTAGACAAGTTATTTATGATAGATCATCGACCTCAAATAAAACATACCAAGATAGAATGAAAAACAACACTAATGCAAAATAATACACAATCTTCGTCGATTATTTATTTCTATCGAGTTTATCTCTATTTATTATTTCATCAATTCGTCTAAGTCAAAAATAATAGTTTGAGATCTTACTTACCATTTTTAATTTAAAATAGCTTTATCAAAACTATTTTATCGAAAAATATTTCTAAAATATAGCTTATGTCCTTCAATTTTAAATACGTAATTTATTCATCTCCGGATAGAAAAGTTAAAAGGATAATTTATTATAACTTTTTCTAGGACCATCTATTAAAAGTCACATAAGAAAAATTCTCAGTGTTGGCTTTAACTACACAAATTTCTATAGTGGTCAAAATTAAGTTGGTGAAACTTCCCTCTAGTACAATGTACAAGAGGAAAATAATATGGTGTGTTTACGATTAATTTAAATTTATATCATATAATGATATAGATAAGAGGTGAATATTTTTGAGGTGAATATTTTTGAGTGAAACTTATTTCATACGTAAAGTTCGAATACAAAACTTCAGGAGTAGGACGATAACCTTTAGAGATATAAACATTCTTTTTCTGTAATACTTCATATTCAATTAAACTATGTAAAACTAATAGAAACAGATAAAATATTTTCACAATATTTGAATTAAAACAACTAAAAATAATAACCAGAATAATTAATTGTTTGAATATTCTCTTAAAAGATTAAACAAAAATCATTTTAATTCCTACATTAAAATTCATGTATATCATTAGGAAGAAAAATATCTAGTACTCTTGCCTATACCCAACTTGTTCTTTTGATTAATTATTTTCTTACTTAATTTGTAATAAAATATTGAACAAATTACAGAAATCACATACTTTGTAATCTGATATTCGAGATATACTAATATAATGCATGAAATACATTAATTTAATGTGCGAGATACACTAATGTGATGCGTAAAAATTAAGGATTTTGCAAATTTTTAAAACTTATATCACGGATTAATGGTAATAAGTAAACTAAAAAGTGGGACTTTCGGAATTAATCCTAAAATATTTGTGTATTTTGGTTTTACTAGCACCCAAACCTAGATATTTTATGATTATTTTTTGTAACAATAAATATTATTATTATTATTATTATTATTATTATGAAAAACGTGGCTCTTTATAAACCAAAAGAAATTGAACACACATGCCCCCACACCTCACCCAAATTGGCGGATTAGGTACGCAACAATAGCAATTAAGACTTTTTTGGTCCTTCCTTTTTGAACCCCCCCCCCCCCACCGCACCCCAACCACCTAACACTTTATCGTAAGGGTATTTAAGTAATTTAACTTTTCGATTTCATGTAATAGCAAATATTTTTAGTTTTTCTAGGCATCTAAACACTTTTATTAGCGTTGGAGTTACTTTAACTTTGATTCTTCTTTTCAGAAAGTATTACAAGTACTAAATAACACGACAAAACACGTATGAAGATTTTCCCCACAATTAGCAATATTTGAATTATAAGATACTTTAATCATGTCTTTGAATTTTATTTAAAATGTTTAAATATTAAAATCACAAAAATAGAGAGGGAAATATAATTTTTTTTATTTTTTATAGAATAATGATTATAAGGGGAAAAAACTATTTGATACCAAAATTGTAATACTAGTATACCTTTGTTAACAATGAAACAACCCTAAGAATTATAACTATAGAAAATGATTCTAAAATTGTAATTTAAGAACAACTTTGTTAATAACCAAACAAACCCTAAATATTATAATTATTCTAAAGACTATATACTATCCTAGAATACCTAGTTATATTATCTATTTCCAAAAAAGAAATGGATTGTGACCCTAATAAATGCCTCATAAGAGCAATACTTTCAAAGGTGTAATTATCATATAATCAAAAAGAAAAAGAGCACTAATGAAATTGATAAACACTAAACAAGCCACCCCCTCTATGCTACTCTAGATCATAGACATGTCCAAATATCTAAAAGTCCTAAAGGTCAAGAAATCATTATACACCTTTTATATAGTTAAAACTATTAATCGAATCGATCACGAATTTTAAAGCAACGATATTGATTCATAAATCACAAGTTCGAATCATAAAAACAATTATTAATATCTATATCAGTATGTCATTTTCTAAATTCTGCTAACGCTGTCATTTAAAACTATTAATAAATGAAGAGTAGGATGACCTAAGTACTTTAATTTATTTATATTGTGCACAAGTGGATTTATAGTGCTTTATGGTTCTTGATCATGCTAAGTTAATTAATTAATAAATTAATCATACTTGTCAATTAGTAACTTTTTTTTTCTTATTGAAATAATGCTTGAATTTTGGAGGTTTTTTTTGTTTTGCTGCCTCACAAAGTATGGACAATTAGATCCTAGAATAAATCAATTCTTCAAGTATATATAGGAAATATACACATCCTTCACTATCAAAAGATTACACATTTGCATGAATCTATCAATCACTAAAACCAAAAAGAAAGAAAAAAGAGGAGAATTCTAGTACTAATTTAATAACCAAGTAGCTAGTAGCTTTCTATAAATAGTACAAAATCATATTTTATCAAATATTATTATAACAATTGAAGAAAGTAATCAATTATTTATAATAGTATAGTGGGACAAGCCAAAGGAGCCACATCAAAGTGGTTGCGATAGAGTAGTAAATAACTTCATCTTTAATTAAAAATTTTGAATAGTGGAGTCGTCAAAATTTTCAGTTAGAACGATAATAATATATTTAATGTAATTTTATAAGTCGGGTTTGAGGAGGGTAGGATGTACGCATACCTAACCCTTATGGCTTTATATTTGTTAAATAAAAAGACAGTTTTCCATCAGAATTTTTACTAAAAGAGTCAAACCGATAAAGAAGTAAACACATGTAAAAGAATCAAGGAAATTTAACACACACATGCGTGTAATATTAACTATCCAGACGATGTAACATTTTAGCGAAGAGAGTTAATTGAAACCCCTTGAACAATGATGACTCCACCATTTGATTCGAGTTTGATCTCTAGATGTATCTTCAAAATAAAAAATTTTCACGCAAATTCGAATTTATTAACTCTAAAATAGATGTCAAATACCAAGTGAAAAATGAAGAAAAAAGCCAAAGGACCCATCTTCCATTAGTTCTCAAGGAAGGTGAATATTGAAGGCCAAAATTTGAATACAAACATAAAGAAGAAATAAAAATGGATATAAGTGATGGACATAAGTGTGGGTACTTGGGACAGTAACAAATTCCTTATTTTATCATATTTTTGAAGATTTTCTTTCATTTGAAAAATTTACTAAAATTTCTATTTTCTTTTTTAATTTTCAGATACATAACTTTACGTAATGTATCAGGATATTGAGTGATGTATCCGAAATCAATACGCAGAGTATCGAGACGTTTTGAGATGTATCTGGATTTCACCAAATTTAAGGAATTTTTGTAATTTGAGAAAAGTTAGAGATAAAATGTAATTAACTCTGAACACTACAAGATATTTGTATAACGTATTATTATATGGGCCCAATTTTAGAGGGAAATTTGGCCCATTGGGTCAAAATGGTTTGTTTTAGAAACAATGACGGAGACAGTTTAAGGGCCCATAGTTAATTTGTTGATATGGTTTTGTGGTTTTTTTTGGTACTCAATCTTTCATGTTTTTAGTACATTTTCAAATCAATTAGTATTTTTTTTTACTATTTGAAGATTTTCTTTTGTTATTAAAATTATTATGCAGTTTAAGTTTAATTTTATAATATCCATATATACATAATATTTACGCAATCAGATCATTTGGTAGTGAATTGTCGTTGTCCACTGAGTATGTTTGGATCGATAGGTGTTGGTCCGATTCACCTATGTCAGTTCGAACTTGGCGGGTCATTCGTTCGTGTGGAGAATCTCTCTCGTCACTCAGGATTTCTCTCAGTTGATCCGATGCGTCATAGATAGAATGGAGTGGGCTATACGCCGACCCACGTTAAAAGCTTTCTTCTCTTATGAGATTTCGATTGAATAAACAATGGTTATTTCAAACACCGTCTACTGTCTCACCAACTGATCAGTGGGTTCATGCCGCACAGAAACCGAGACCTGAGAAGGAGGCTGTAGGAGAGAGTCCAGCATAACAGAAATCATCTAAGCTGACAAGGACCCAGAAAAGGAGGATGCTGAGGAAGAATACTTTAAAGCACTTTTATAGCATTTAAGTAAAATTTAAAAAAAAACATTTTTTTCAAGTGGTAACTGGTTAGTACCCTTTCATTTCAGGTTCGGAGACTGAGAATGAAATCGCCTTTGGTAAGAAACACTTTACCCCTTAAAGTGGGAGTTCACGTCACGAATCCAGAATAATCGAGCGCCAAAACAGATATCCAAACACCGGGTTTAAAAATAAAAATAAAAAACTATGAAAATTGATAAATATAATTGTACATGTTCACATGACTGTGTTGGGGTGTTGGGCTTCAACAAGAAATTATTACATTAATGTACACTCAAATTTGTTTGTTTTCATTACCATTTTAGTGATTTATTGTACCAAATCCAAAAGAAAGTTTATGTCCACTTAATAACTGTTACTGTCTTAAATTATCTATCGTGATTTAAAAATAATTATCTCAAATTGGTTGTCACGTAAAAATTCAACACAAAATTTAATTATTTTTTCATTTTTTTAATCGTTAAAAATAACTATTCCTAAAGTCCACACACCCTATCACAGTAGAACAAATATTTAATAAAGAGAAATTATATCTTACGACGAATATCTTATCGTAAAATAAATACAAATAAAGACACCCAATGAAGATTGAACAAATCTTAAGTCCTATATGTATCAAACTTTGTGGGCTTGTGCCTATGAAGCCCAATATATCTTGGGTTGGGCCACTCAATATGATCCATCAAGATCTCGTTGTGGATCGTGATATTTTTTTTTCCGTGACACTCATAATGGGTCGATCGTTATATATATATATATATATTGAAAATCTATCACACTAAAATAATGAAAAGAAATCTATTTATTTTCTTTAAAAAAAAAGTAAAAAACTTTTCACTTTGTAGTCAATCTTTTATCCTTTCGTATCTAGTTTATCCTTATACTCTTATTTTTTTATCCTACATACATAAGTTTACGTAAATTTAATATTTATCTCCTCGTCTATTGCATGTATCTCACAAACAACGTGTTCTCCTTTTATTAGACCTATAGGATTTTCCTCCTCCGCCACCGCCGCCGCGGCGTTCACGATTACGCGGTTTGGGAGTTGTAACTGAGGCGCTGATGGTGAATTATCCTTCTTTTTTTTCTCCTTTTGGAAATGTGCTTTGATCGAAAGCTCTCCTACCGCCTTAGAGATTTCGTCGACGCATCTAGTGACATCGATGAGTATCGACGCCACCGACACGACATCGATTGTGTCTTCTTCTGAGATGGTTTTTGTGGTAATTAAGAGCGCCGCTCTAAGTTCATCGATGGCGAATTTTGCATTATACGGGCCGGGTTGTGTCCTAGTTTTGATGGACAAAGCAAGATACTTTAATGCATTACTAGATTTCTTTATAATGCTTTTGCAACCTTCTTCTGTTCTTTTATGAAACTCAGTTGGTGCCTGAAAATCAAACACGTGTCAAAAATTACAAATTGTGAAAAAGGTCCCCTCAACTTTGTCATTTAGACCTGATATACTTCTTGTTATGAAAGTGACTCATATATATCCCTACTTGTAAACAAATGGCTCACATATACCTTTCTTTTTTTTTCTAACGGAAATGAAAAAAAAATTAATCTAAATTTTTATTATTTTTTCTAAAAGATATAATCCCATATGAGTAAATTTAATCCTCGTCAAACATATTTTTTTTGTTTCACTGACTAATTTATAATTATTATTTTGATAATCAAATTTATTTATGTTTCACTAATATTCTTGTAAAATTTATTGTAGATGACCAAATTTTTTCTTCGAATACGAAATTAAATTACAATACACAAAAAAAATAGTTTAATTTTTTTCTTTAAACTAAGGAATGAAAGAAAAAAAATAAAACAAGAATAAGAAATTCAAATAATCATAATAAAAGAAGTCAAAAAATAATTTTTGTAAGAAAAAAAATTAAAATATAGCTTGAATTTTGATAGAAGACTCATACATACCCCTAAATAATTTTTTTAAAAAAATTTAGAAGTAATAAATATAAATTTAAAACTAATTTTTTAACTTCCGTTAAATGAAGGGTATATATGAGCCATTTTGTAACGGCAGGGGTATATGTGAGCCGTTTGTATAACGGTAAGGTCATATGTGAGCCACTTTTATAACGAGGGATATATCAACTCTAAATGACTAAGTTAAGTGGTATATCAGACCTTTTTCCCTACTTTTTATGACACAATTTAATCAATCGACAAAATATTTAAGTTTTTCTGATTATTTTTAAAAAAATAATAATTATATACCATAGATTTAGATTTTAAGTGACCACTAAGAGCATGAAGATGGCAAGCACAATCTCTACCAAGGTTACCAATCTTTAAGTACTCTTTCCCTGGATTATTAAACCTAAATGGTCCATTTGCTGGCTCCCACCATGCAAAATTTGCCTGAAATAATTTTTTTTAATATAAGTTATATATACTGATAATATAAAATAAATAAATGTATAGCGTCACATCATTTTAAAAGTAATGTATATAATTCGCGATATAAATATTAAACGATGAAATTAAAATGTATATCTCTCATAAATTCTCAGAGGAGAGAATAAGATTATTCAAGCTCAAACGATATTTTCAACAGCCGAGAGTAAATTTCATATATATATATATATATATATATATATATATATATATAATA